TGAGCAGTAGTGATTACCCTTTGCTACATGAAGGTTGGATTCCTCTAGCAACCCTGCCTGATGTCTATTTTTGGCTTCCCCGCTAAAAACAGATGGTTGGGAGTGAGAACCTCTCCTTACGATTGCTGTTGTAAGCTGTGAAAGCAACAGATGGTTGCTAGCACAGAAATCACAAATGCAGAGGTTTTGAGCTCCAGTTTTTCTTCCAGTGGTGCAAGCTTTATTTTGTTTACATCCATCCACTTTATACCTCTTGGAATAGAAATAGGTGTTTCAAGGATACGTCAGTATAACAACTGAAGAGGCATTGTTAAAATTTCATTCCTAAACTGCAAAAGACACAAAATAATTAATTACTTTGGTTCTGTCAGAACAAGACCCTGAGTGTGGATTAAAACATGACACATCTTAGGCCCTTGCATCAGTGTTAATGATATACCATAATTTGGGTTCTCTCATTTTCCTAAAAACACTAGCAAAAAATAAAAATCAACCAGACAGATCTAGGTTAACATTGTCTTCACGACTTGCAATGGTAGATCTGAGAGGCCTGGACTTCCTCAAAGCTCCTGGTCAAGGTGTGGGAAGGTACTGGCTGCAAAGGACTTAACTGCCTTTCATATCTCTGAAGCAGACAGAGAGAGACCCTACTACTCTTCCAGATGAGCAGGAGGCCTGTGGTCTCACAGTACTGACAGGGGTAAGGACCTCTGTCTCTGTGCCCATCACTTCAACTCGAGCTGGGAGGAGCGTGATACCATAAATCAGGAGAGCTACAAGGTCTCTACATAGAGAATCTCTGTATGTCTGCGCCTCGCACTTCAGTGTGCTAATAAATAGAAGGAAATAATGCTTTTTGTGGGTCAAGAAGGTCGTCCAGAAATTATTATACTCCACTTTGTCTGAGTTTATTTTTTTTTAAAAAAATATCCCACTGCACATAAGCTGTGTACATCAAAGGCTTTTGGAGTGCTTTGCAAAGCCTAATGCATTATTAAGCTAGCAAACCCCTGAAGATGGGAGGATGCAAACAGAGAGAGGATAATGATTTACTCAGGACTACATACTGTGTCAGTGGCAGAATTTGGAATACCATTTCCTTTTCTTTAGCTGTGTCTCAGCTGATATCTGTAGAACTGGGTAAAAGTATCAGTTCAAAATCAAATGCATGACTTGAAACGGGACACTGTGTTCTGCTTTTGGTCTGAGCAAACACATGAAGTGAAGAATATTATAATGCTGTGGAATTGCAATACCATTCATCATTCTGCATACAAAAAGTTTCTCAAGACCTCTGTTTCTGGACAGGAAAATGTTGGAAATAGCCAGACTTTGGACATGTTAGAGCAAATCCTCTTCACCATCCAAAATACAGTATTCAAATACAAGGCAGCAGAAAATCTCATGCAGATTATTAGGTACTGTAACATGGAAAAGGAGACCTAAAGGACAGATTTTAAGGAACCAGTGCTAGACATACCTTCAGCCTACCATAAGAAGACATGGTAATTTTAAAGCCTGAATTTCCATTCTCCACTTTAAAAACAAAAACCCCTGTTTGTAGCTGAGAAGCCAAGTCCTTTGCTCCTTTCATCTCATCTCCTTCTTTATGTTTGTTGTGTACTGGCAGCTGTCCTGGGTTTCCACAGGGATACTAGGGAAATTATGAACAGCCCTGCTGCAGTGTCGTGTCTTTTAGAGGGATCACAGCTCCACAGAACATTAATTAAGTCAACATTCTTGTGTCCAATTTTGTTTGAAGTTACTACAGCTCTCATATTTTCTGTATTCACCTGCTTCAGCAAACAATTTTCTTTAAACTCTAGAGTATGTTGGAGAATGAGCTGTTTCATTAGTACAGCCTCAAGTTTTTGAGACTTATACTATTTCAATCCTTAAGGGCTTTCTTGCCCATCTTATTCACATGTTTAAAATATTCCTGCTAATATCCTTAAATATTTTTAAAGTCTAAATATATATGCAGTGCCTCCCCCAAACAGATTGTCTAATTAATCTAACTGTATAGTGTGGTATGTACAGGCACTCAAACTGGAATTTATGTTGACTGGCTAGTATAATAAATTTGGCTGTTGCATTTAATTTTAGAATAAACCACATTTATTTCCCTTACACTGGATTCAGGAAATAAATTATAGTTGAAGCAATAAGATTTTTCCAGGCTTCTCTAACATTCATTCTAAATTAATTTGGTATTTCAGATTCTTCTACCAATTGCAGCAGTTATGCTGACCCAATACATCAGAGAAAATTTACAGGTTTTATTGCTGTTTCTGAGGGGCTGTTGGGAGGCAGGAGTCTTTAAGCCCAGATGGCCTACTAGATGCTGGCAAAATTTAAGCAGGGTTTCTCCCAGGACTCAGGACCAGTCCAATCATGTGGTGGGAGGCTTTGTTAGAAGTACTGCCACTATTAGTACCAATGCACACCTATGTTCAGAGCACAGACAAGGTTTAAAGGAGAGCCTGAGAGCGCTGTCATGTTTCAAGCAGCAGGGCTGGTGGGTATAGCCAAGTTCTCTGATAATTTAAGGAAGCTTAAATGCAGTGAAGCCACTGCAGCAAATGCCACACACATCTTTGGCTGTGGTACATGATGTATCCAATCACATTGTACTTGCCTAATGTTTAACTCTTAATTATGCTTGCCCAGAGCTGTTCCAGTGCAAGTGGAACAGGGTATCAAATCAAAAGGCACATGAACAAATGCAGGAGCAGGAAAGGAGTTCAGACCTGAGACTGGCTTTAAGAAAATGATTAATATTTGCTCTGAATAAAAGGTCCATCTGTAATTTGAAACTGATTAACTAAAGAGCTATTTTAATGTTAATGGACTAACAGTAATTTCTGGTGACAGTGAAATGCTTTCTCCATTCCAGCATTTAGTATTCTAGTTATCCTAGTCCAGATATGAGATTTTTAGAAAATGTAGAGTATAGGGATGGCAGCTCTTTGGTGGTAGGAACAAATTACAGCTTTTAACTAGATTTTTTTAAAAACACAACTTATTTACTAATACCCCACATATGATTTAGAGCTGAATTTGAGAGCAACTGATGGATCTACTGTGTGCTCTTTCATGCAGATTTTGTACTCCAGGGAACAGAGTAATTGGTAGTTGAAAAGCTTCTTTTAGGATTTTAATCTCCACCCCAGAAAACAGTGCAACCCTGAGCAGGATCTAGCTATATTCAGTAGTAGAAGTGAAACATAAAATACATGCCTAAAAAAACCAACTGAATGTCAGAAGAGTTTCAGCTTCCTGTGTTGATGTTTTGAAGTTATTTCTGCTTTCTATGATGAATGTCCACAAGTTTGGAAGAGACATGGTTACTGTTTCTGTCTTCTGAATCAGGGCAAGAGCCTGACACTGGCAGGGAAAAGGCTTGTCAAATGTTGTAGCTTCAAAGTGGTGTCAGTTACTGTGGTTGTGAAATTGTCAACAATTAAGCATGCTCTAGCTAATTGACAAGTCTGTTCACAAAACTAGAGTGGATACTCAAAATGGCACAAGAATATGACAAGGAATGATCACCTCCTTGCTACTGCGGAATTTCTGCCTGTGCTTGTCTTTCCTCCAGTTCATGAGAATAACAACTCTCTTCCCGCAGCTGTTGACTTCCAAATGGAAAAATGAGCCAAGCAGAAACTGTTCTGAGGAAGTTCTCATAGTTTTTCTGAAATTCTAGTGACCATGTCTAAAACCTAACAAATCAATGAAGGGTGTTTCTGAGGGCGTGACTATAGGTTACTAATCTGGTAATGTGCCTGTTCCCAAGGAAACAAAAATTTAATTTTCTGTCTCATTTCCAACACAGAGTTGAATTACATGTCTGTCTCTATGTTTAATGAACAAATCATTGCAATATTTGTGAGATTTAATTACGATGGGGAGTTTACATGGGAAAGAGGGAAACTGCTGCAGCAGCCCTAACAAACTGATGTTTACTGTGGAAGGTATAAATCCAGCATTTGTTAGTGTCTCTGCAATGCCTGGCCTCAGTCTTAGTTATCTATGTTGCAAAAACCACCAAAATTCTATAGTAGGAATGGTAAGGCATTGGTTCACTGCCAAAGACCAAAGGAAGCCTTGCAGAGAGAAGCTGGGGCATGTTCCCTCTGGCTGTTAGCTAAAACATAGGGCAAAAATCCACTTTCTCTCTTGCTAGAGAGAACTGTGATTTATAAGAGGGGCAATGCTCCTAGGTACTTGTCTTGCCACAGTATAGTATACCCTGGCAGTAGGACTGCTGACTTTAAATGCTGGGGCTCTAAATGTCCTAAATAATCTTTTCACATTAACTCCTCCCCCACACTCCCAACAAACAAACAAACAAACAAACAAACGCATTAATATTCCACAGTGTTTTTTTGTCTGAATTTCTGTTCCATCTGATCCTTTGCTGGGCTTGCTAGTTGAAAGCACAGGCTAGACAAAAGAGGTCCCTTCTGATCCTTCCTACTGCCTTGTATACTAGGAGCAGGACTGTAAGGTTTCTAAGAAACAAAGGAAATTCTAAGGAGGGCTTTAAATATCACCTCTGTGTATGACCCAAAATAGAACATTTAAGTGCATCGAACAGCCTTAATCTAGTCTAGCTTTGTATAACCTGGATGACTCTACAGCAGTCACACCTGCTCATTTCTCTACAAATGCTAGTCTTTGATCTGCAAGTATGCTTGAACCATAAGCCTTTTGTTTTTTTCCTGAAAACTTTTTGAATGGTAATCTTCTGTATATTCTCATAGAGAAGAAAGTTTCTATCAGTACTAAGACATTTTTCAAAATATTTATATTCATATACAGCTGTCTTCATATGTAAATTTTGCTCTAACGGCGACACTAACTAACTTGGAATAATTTTAAAAATCAGAAAGTTTGCCTTGACAACCTTCACGAAATACAAATACAGTTTCTGAATATAACTGTTAAAATACAGGCAACAATTTAATATTGCAGATAACAGAATTTTTCTTCCTTAGGAAGACTATGATCGTCTGAGACCTTTATCTTACCCTATGACCGATGTCTTCCTTATCTGCTTCTCAGTGGTAAACCCTGCTTCATTTCAAAATGTGAAAGAAGAGTGGGTACCGGAGTTGAAGGAATATGCACCTAATGTTCCCTTTTTACTAGTAGGAACACAGGTATATTTGGTTCTGTTTTACTTTATTTAAACAATTAGGATCATTGTATGGTGCCTTTTCTGTGGGCTGGAAGTCGAGGCCAACAGGACCTGAGCAGCAGGTCTCCTCCTCCTTCTGCCTTTGGAGGAACAACCCTTACAGGTGGCAGAAAAACACAGATACGTGTTGTTCTCCAACGAGCTATCTCCATTTTGTTAAAAAAAACTTATGTCCATTGTAAACACGGTGGCAAGATGGACTGCATGTCTCCCATGTGACTTTCTAAAAAGTCATGGGACCTAGTGAATAAAATTGTCTGCTCATGCCCATGTTACTGGAATTACTTGGGTATACAACTATTAGTCACATGCAATATTTGCTGAAGCAAAGGAGAAGGGGAGAAATGAGACAGTTTCCTCTTGCTTCTCATGGATAGTGGACTGGGGTTCATTTATGAAGTGACCCACATGTTGGTGTTACCTTTGGGTTAATCTTTCTGCCACTGCATTTGGTATTCTAAGATGACCACATCTAATTGAAGTGCAGAATTACAGAATAAATGTTTCTTCCTTCTAGATTAAAGGTTCACAATTTAAATTGAGGGCTCTTGAATCAGGAAGGGTCCACAGTCTGAATCATGACATGACTCCGTTTTTACAGAGATAATATTCCATTGAATGATTCTCCTTTAAAAAGAGGGTATCATATTGTCTGCTGACTTTTGTTTAGAGAAAGTATTCCAGCATGACTTCAATCTTTCTTGCTAGATTGATCTCCGTGATGACCCAAAAACTCTGGCAAGACTGAATGATATGAAAGAGAAGCCCGTATCTGTGGAGCAAGGACAGAAGTTAGCAAAAGAGGTAAATTGGATATTCCTAAATGAAACCAAGTTACAAAGAACAACAACAACAAAACACCCCTATTTTTACTTGACTTTGTCTTCCTTTACCACTTTTTCCATATCTTTTAGCAGTCCACATATGAAATCTTGTGACTGCTTACGAGTCAACAACACTTACATTAATGAACAAACCTAAGTAATTACACTGTCTTGTCAGTAATTGTTCTAATTTTCAGTGTAGACAATTATAGAGCTTGTATAGCTTTTACAAATATTACTCAAAGATAATTAAAATCCACAGACTGGTTGAGGTTGGAAGGGACCTCTCCTGCTCAAGCAAAATGTTGGAAGCATCTTTTAGACATTTTAACATTATTTGAGAATGTTATACTGCCACTGTGACTACTGTGTGGATAATGCTTATCAGAACATTTACAGAGCCTTTATTTTTGAAACACAAATGAGTAATGTAATTATTTTTTGCTCTTTAATTATCAACCCTATCTTAGGCCTCCACTGCCAATCTAAAGAATTTACTTGTTTCCCTTAGAAACCAACCAACTTAAATACCTTCCAGGTCTTTGGACAAAAGACAAATCTTATTTTCTCCTATAGGGGGGTGCACATTCAGATAACATTTTTTAGATTGTAGCTAAACATTGTAATGTTGCTGGGGGGGGGTGGGGAGGGGAAAGCAGAAGTGCCCAGATGGAATTGAACAGATGAGACATACTGCTATTGAATTTACTTATTTTCTTGACAGATAGGAGCCTACTGTTACGTGGAGTGTTCAGCTTTAACACAGAAAGGACTGAAGACTGTTTTTGATGAAGCTATTATAGCCATTCTAACTCCAAAGAAACACACAGTGAAGAAGAGAATAGGCTCAAGATGCATAAACTGCTGTTTGATCACGTGAGAGACATTTGACAATGGCCAGGCTTACTGTGAAATTCTACTGATTTTAAATACAATGCATTAAGTACATAGTGAATTTGTTCCAGGTTTGAAAGTTAAACCTACATTTCTGCCTTCTACAACCAGTGAAATCCAGAGGAATAAAATCAAACTCAACAAACTTGTAATAAGAAGCCACCACATCTGTTACAAATATTTTATTCAGACTGGAAGGTACAATCTCTCAGGGTTACACAGTCTAGAGGAAGCAAAAACTGCACCATGCTGAAACAGCATCTATGTGATTTTACTGAGTGGAGATGCTTGGCCTGAAATACTTTAACTGAATATGGACAGTCTTCTGCTTTGACTATATATATATATATATCTTAAAAAACCCCAACTTTTGCACAGTCTGTATGGAATCTGCACAAAGAAATACCTTGTCTCTTTTTGCTCCAGTTATCTGCTTTTGTATGTAAGCTGCTTCCGGTTCCAGTGTATCCACAGAGGTGCAATAATCAGACCAGCCATATAGCCAAAGGTAGCTCCGAGGGAACAGGAAATGGGCCATACCTGTGGGGAGGATGCAAGGTAAAAGCAGACAATGAGGAAAATGTCTGTGGTTTTTTGTACTTCATGAGCACAAAGTCTAGGTACTGAAAGACAGTAGTCTTATTCTACTTTAAAGCTTGATGCGCTTTCCTAAAAATGCCAAAAGCATAACAATCATCTTCATGAACACTAAATGCTGTTGTACAGTTTTTAGTTAATATGCATTAAAATGTAAGCAGGCTTCTGGCTATTGCAGACTTTAGTTTGCTAGTCCAAAAACTGTGTGGATAAAAACACCCCTTAGAACTATCTATATCCCCTGAAGCATTCAGCTGACCTAACTTCCTACTCTGCTGTACACAGTTGGATACCTACAGATTTCTCAGCAATTTCTCCTTTCAATCTCTCATGGTGTTCTGAAACTTTCAGGTATGTATAGAGGAATTAGTATTCAAATAAGGCAAGAGACTGAGATAGATAGAAATTTGGAAGCTGACTGAACATCTAGCACCCAGATCGTCAAACTTGTAGTAAGCCAGTTATGTCAAAGAGAGCTTTAATTATATGCTCTATTTTCTATTATAAGAAGAGGAAGCTAACTCAATAGATCTCACTCTCTTGAACAAACCGTCTTGTATTGAGCCGGCATAGTAATGGAATTCTTCCCTGCTCTTTTTTTTTAAAATTGGTGTTGATTTGCAGGGCGTGGCCGAACCAAGACTTGTTTGTCATCAGATGTAGCTTATAGTACCAGTCCATTACATACTGCATTTGATGAAAGTCTCAACTAAGGTGGTAATTAATTAATTTATTTTAGAATAAATACAATTTCCAGGCCTCTTTAAAATTTTCCTTTGGTTTTTTTTTTTGGTTTTTTTTTTGCAAGGACAAGTTTGCAGTTCCTACTGTACAGTGCATATTCGTAAAGCAAGTATGGACTGGACTCTACTATTATTTTGTTTTTTAAATTAAAGGGGATATTACCCCTCCCTCCCATAGTAGTTGAGACTGAGAAATGCACTAGACAATAGAGGAAATATTCCAATCTCCAGCCTTCTTTTTTACTTCACTTTGACTTGTAATTCATGAATATCAAATGAACTTACTCTTAATGGTACTGGTTCCTCCTTTCATTCATTTTCCTAGCTCTGATTCTTCTCTTTACTTCATTATCACTTAAAAGAATATATTTATTCACATCCTTTGATCATAGGAATTTTAACTACGAGTAAGAGTAATGTATTTTGTCTTCTGCCCTTTCATCTTCAATCTCCTCAGTTGTTTCATCTTCACATTCCTTAGCACTTACAGCTTTATATGTTATTTGGAGGTCTTAAGGAGTGTAGCAAAGATGATTATTAAACAAGGTGCCTTAGGTACTCTTTATTGACCTTGTTTCATTCTTTCACTTTCATACATTCTGTCTCTGCTGCTTGTTTTTGTTGCTGAGTATTTCAGCAGTTGCCTCTCAAGCCAAAGACTTGCTTGTTTTCATTCATTTACTGTGTATAGTAGATCATCTATAAAAAGCCTTGAGAGGCTTTGGCATGGTAAGTACTACATGTATTTGAAACTCACATAAGTTTGTGGCCTTGGCTAAACTTACACTTCAGGTGGATCTTTTCAACTTTTAAACAAAATGCAATTATTTCTAGCATTTTGCATATTACACATGTCTAAAGGACAAAACAATAAAAAAGTCCCTGAAACCCTTCTGCTCACTCAGTAATGTTCAGATGGCAAGTCATACTTTTTTATCCACTGATGAAGTCAAATACCAATATTCAGAAAACTATGGACAAAGGCTTCTTAACACAGTGGTGCTTTTACATCAAATTTGCTGAGTGATCAATGATCAATCCTTCAGTAAATTTTTACCTACATTAGGTGAATTTGTAGTTGCCTATTTGCTTTCCAGAACTATAGGTAGATTATGGACTCTGAATTGATCATATTCCCCTAACTAGAGAGTGAATATCCCAGATGACCCAATGACCCTGTATATTGTGCTATTTTGTGTATAGTGGGTGATTATTGGTATGATTAAAAAGATCTCTGATGATTGTTGTAGCCTCTTTCACCTGACTGAACTGCAACTTCGGACATGTTTTTTCAATAGCTATGTCACTTCTAATATTAATTATGCCTCTGTCTGTTTTCTAAAATGTTCAATTTTTGCTTTGGTTTTTAGAAGTCAGTGTTACCTTACATAAGTTTCAGGCTCTCTCTCTTAACATTTGAATCTGTGACCTCTGAACACTCAAAAATGGCAGGTGGAAAAGATAGGGAACACAGTGGAAGAAAACACAAAACATGCCATCTCCCCATCTGTGAATAAGACAGAAAGAGACACCACCTCATCACTTGTAGTGGCATGGAACAGAGGGGTACCAGGCCAGGCACTTAATTCTTACTGTGCTGCTTGGACAGGCCTTAGTAGTTCTGAGGGCAGTTTGGCCTTTTGAGAACTCCCTAGCAGTTAAAAGCCAGGACTTAAAAGTGTTGCTGTCCTTCTGCCATTTTCTCTAACCCTTAAGACCGGGCAAAATCCCGTAACAAACAAGTAGTAACACCAGTTTTGCACCTTTTATTCTTGACTGATGGCTTTTAGGCTACATATAGCCCGAGGCACCCATGGGTATATCTAAAGAAGCAAGTTATCAAAGACAGATTAAGATATGGCTCTTAAGCACATCAGCTGTACTAAAATAACACCACTTTCACATGCTTTTGATTGTCTACGAAAATGGGTTGCTTCTTTCTGTAGAAGTGGGTTGCTTTATTTTGTATTAGCTGCTGGCCTCATTTTTCTGAGACCCAATCACTTTCTTCTGGACCTTTTTAAATGACTTTGACTTACTCAATTGGCCTGCTTTTGCCCCATCTTTCATAGTATCTCAAACTTGCTTTAAAGTCCTTGACTTGGTATGAACTGCCTGTAAGTGACAGAAATCTAAGCAGCAAATATCTCTCTGCCTGTTTCAGAGATTCCATTCTGCTTGCTTAAAATATGCAACTTGTAATACACCCCTCCCATCCCCTGAGAACTTTTCAGCTCAGTTCCTCCTACACCGTGCTCCCTTCTGCCTTGAGGAAGCTGACATATCCTGCCCCAGTACTGATGTCATGTCTGGGCAGGGTCAGCAGCAGGGGAATAAGATGTTAGGCCACATGGCCTAGCTGCACTTTTGCTGAGGGGAAAAAAGGCTGATAAGGAGAGAAAAGTGTGGGGAGCGCAGGAGATAGAACAGAATATTTTTCATGAAACTGTCATGAAATGCCTTATCTGTCTTAGCAGCTGGGAAGCATCAGCTACCATTCTCACAGCCTAACACAAGAAGAATCAGTTTACACATCAAATGCATGATGAAAAGGGCAATTGTAACAACCTGTAGATGACTACTAGGAACCTGAACAGCAGCTTGGCAAAAACAAATCTTAACAAGAACAAAAAATGCATTTTAATGGACAGAGCATGAGCCAGTGTTAAATGCAAAATGATTCTGACTTCCACTATTCATTTAAATTTTCTTTTAGCCTTTTCATCTGGCAGCAGTGCTGGACTTCAGGAATTTCTTTAGGCTAGCTTAACAGACACTGCAGAACTGCAAGGTTTTTAGTATATATTAGAACTAATTTTAAGAACAATGACTCACAATAGGAATTGCCAACCTTTCAGGACACAAATGAGCTAGCTTTCCTCAGTGCTCTTTAGAACACCTAAGATTCTAAGACGTGAGAATGCTTAGCATATTGCATGGAAAGCAGAGCATGTTGCAGGATCCCAGCAAGGTATCTAGCTCTGCTGTACTGTGCATGTAGCTAGCTAATCCAGAATTCTGACTGCATGACAGTTTTGTCATCTATTATGAGTCTTGCATCCCATGCAAGGGAATTACATAGATATTGATAAGGACATAAGGGCCAGATTCTTATAGACCAGAGGAGCAACACAAAGTTTTAAAAATATTATGAAGTAAGCAGCTGCCTGCTGGAACTTTCATTACACAAATGCAAATACAGTGGGGCAATCTACTGTACTTACTTTGCAGTAAACTTAAGAGTGTTTTTCTCATATCCCTAAACACGATTTTTTGTATGCTTACTGTTTCAAAAGACTGATTTCTGACTGTCAATTAGAAGGCTATGTAATAATTTTTGTTTCATTTTAAAACTGAATAAATGAGCACAATTATTTTCCCTCCCTGTTTCTAACATGCCTTAAATTCCTGATTGTTTAGTCTGTACTGTCTTAAAAACTTCAGTACATGCCTTTAATCTATTTTGGTTGCATGCACATATTAACTACAAGTGTCTTATCACATTGTACAGAATGTGTGTGCTGACAAGCACACACCAAGAAGAAAGTGTGAGGCTTTTTTCAGGCTGGCATTTGTAACTAGAAGTTATTTCATGGATTTGTGTTCTAAAGTTATAGCAAGCATAACAGCCTTTGATCTCACCATTAAGGTTTACATTGAGAAAACACATTATTAAATAAACAATGATAACCACACTAAAGTGGAATAAGCTTCTACCTCTGTTTAAAACAACTCCAACTGCGTATTATCCCTTCTTCTCATATTAAGCAACTTCTCTTATAACAAAACTTTCACAGTAGGTAGTAGATCCAAAAAGGAATACAAGAAGGAATCTCTCTGAGCTGTGTTAAGAACCAAAGTAAAGTGAAAGTTTATAGTCCCATTCCAGCTTACTTGAGTAAGCACCAAGAACTGTACCCAAGATTCTGTGGATTATTTTTCAGGCTACAAATGTCTGAGAAGTATCTAAGGCTAATATTTACAGTCATATTGGCTGAATTACATGGCAGTCAGTCAACTCAGGTGAGCTATATCAGCACTACTTATTATGCTTTCAGTATCCACTATGAAGTAGGAATATAGCAATTTTTCTTCTACCTAATGATAACATTGTAAGCAGAATATTGTTTCAAAGTCATTTTTTACCACTAATAACAGGTATTACAGATCAAAATTATGCTACCAAAAAACCCCGGATGTATGGGAGGGCATGCACACAACAAACACAGAGACTAGATTTAAAAGTCTGTTATCAAAATACGCAATTAACCCAGGAATTCCCCAATGAGCTAAATCCGGTCAATGGCAAATGCTGTGTCTGGAATAATAGTTCCACCACATATAAAGTGTGCTGATAAAGCTGTGCTCTTCAACTATACCATGTTGTTCTGCAACTAGTTTCCTCAAGCTGAGTCGAGAAAGGATGTGCCTAGTAACTCCTACATCATCCCCTTCTGTTTCAGTGGTGGTGTGTTCTAAGGTTCCACTTCTCAGTGACACACGCAGCCAGGATCCTCATCACATGTGGTTATTAAAAGCACACCATCAGCTTGAAACAGGCAATCTGGAAAAACTAAGCAACTGTAACAAAGGAAGTTATTTTCTATTTCTTTGTAGAACTGTCCTAGCTAACTGTAACCCTTACACACCCACTGTGCTTCAGCAGCCTAGAGGCATCTGAGATGGATGTACAACTCTAAATTGTCTAGAATACCCTTATTTAAATAATCACAACTAAGTGTTGCAAACTGTTTTAAAAATTGCTGAAAAATGTGATAATCTCAAAACACTGGCAAAATTGGTCTTAACAGTCTAACTGAAACATGCCTGGCAGAACAAGTCCTGGAAAGTTTGTTGTTTTGGTTTTTTTTTTTTTTTTGTTTTTGTTTTAATACAGAAATGTAACTACTGTAGTGTCTAACCTGCATTCCTGCCTGTAAGGCAATTATCTTTACCTTTGTCTGAGATAAGCTGAATTCTACAGACCTACAACCAGGAATAATAACAGACTAGGCCTCCCTGCCCAACTGTTTTGCATAGTTACAAAATTTTTCTTAAAGGTAGCAGAGGAGTAACATACATGACATGTATGCTTTAAGAACAACAGAATAATGAAAAAAACCCGAAGCATAGGACACAAATGAACTTTCAGCAATAAATTTTATACTTCTAACAGAAATGCTTTATATATTTTTCATCTCCATTCTCAAACATTATTCAGAAAATTAATGTTTATTTCTGAAACAATATTCTGTTCCAGCTAAGTAATATTTACTTAGCATAGAAGTTGTTGCATGCTTAAAAAAATGCAATTAACATTATTTTTAAGGGTAGAGAGGCACACTAATCTGAATATCCCCTGTATGCAATATTTTTCAAACGAAAACATGGAAAATAAAGTGAAGATTTTCTGAGACATCTGTATTTATCTCAGTTTTGTTGCATATCACAAGACGTATGTATAAAAAAGCAGTATGTTTCCTTTGGTTTGTAAATAAGTAAGGATGAAGTAGCATTTGGGCTTTAGTCATCAGCACATGAGTTGGAACTCTTGCTATGAAATTCATCATCAGGTTTACTCCACAGAGCCCTGAAGTACTTTGAAGTAAAAACAAATTTTAGTGAAAGATGCATAGGACGCTGACATCTGATTTTCTGACCAGGTAAGATCCAGCTAATAGTACAAAAGACTTCTCAAATTCTACTGATACATCTCACCCACAATGTAAAGCAATGATTGCCAGGTAATTTTTAAGTTCTTCTATGAAGTTTGCAGGAAAATATGATAGACTCAAAACAGACTGCCAAGGGCAGGGAAACAGTAGCAAAACATGAAACCAATGTTGCTTTTTCTTTGAAGGACATAAAGCAGAAGAACTGTGGTAGGTATGAGCGTGGCAATTCAGGCAAGTATCTTACAGAATAGTGCAGATAGCTTTAGTTAATACTCTACTGGGATTCCAGCATTCTCAGTACTCCCTCCAACCTCTTGTTTGCTTTAGGTGAGTGACTGCCATTCCATTTGAAGCCATTTCTATGAATAAATCAGACTTCACAGAAGCAGCTTCACAGTCTCCCATTTCTGAATGATTTTTCAATTTAAAAGTTGACTGTAGACACTCTTAAACTGTCTACAGTTTAAAGCGTAGACACCAGATCTGATTAAGTGCTAAATCCCAATTAAGTGGAAAAATATGCCAATTCAAGACACAGTGACTTTTTCTGTGTACCTTGTCTCATATTATATTGCTTTAATAAAGCTAAATCAATAGCATTTTTCATCCCAAACACACAGCATTTCTGTACCAGCCGGATATTTTGTGGTTTGACAACTTTTGACATTCCAGGGCTACTAAGAGAGTCCAAGGGCAGCAGCAAAACCCCTTTGGTTTGCTTTATCATGTGACATTTCTCAATTATTGCTGATCCCATCCCGTTCTTGTAGTAACAATTTAATCTCTTCTGTGACAATCTGCCAATAATGAATTGTCTGAAGTTACAGGTAGCAATGCATCTGCGTTTCTACTGCACACTAACACCACAAATGCTAAGTATAATCAATACAAACATCAGAACCAGATTTTGCAATAAACAGTCTAAAAGGCCTTAACACTGCTCTCTAATAATACCACTTTACTCTTCCCCAAGTAATAGATTTAAACCCCATTTTCTGCTTTAAAGCAGAACCACTTTCACTACAGATCAAAAAAATTGTTTACAGCACAAAGGCTAAAATACAAAAAGTAAAATAATCACTAATGAAACCTCTTTTTATCTCAGAAGCTGGTCTTGAGTTCAAAGACTAAGCTGTTCCATTTGAGTCCATTTTTGGATAGGAAAAGGGTAAATCCAAAACTAATCCTCAAGCTCTCTGTTTTTAGGCTAATATGAGAAACAGCTTATGTCAGAAGCATGACAGCTTAATACTTTACTCATGCAGCTATATAGAAGTAATTTGGTTTTGACTGGGTTCTGATTACTTTTAAGTCTACATTAAGATCTACATGATTTCTTTCAGACCTTGCTTGGGTCTTAATCCATAGGTGCTCCCTTAAACATACCAGTCGATGTTCTACAGAGTTCTGTGCAAACTTAAGCTCTGTGCAAAATACTAGTAGTCCTTGTATTTGGGGGAGATTAAAAAATACCATTATTATTAATCCTGCAGCTGTATTATGTGCAGGCATTTTTACACTCAGTAAGTGGTTAGGTCACTCAGGGGCAATCAGCACTAAAGATCTTCTTCACAAACTGAACAGATCTGCAACAACAGCAGATTTTTCTGAGGATCACTCTTCTTTCCCCTGTCTGAAGTTGAAGACAACACAGAAACCACTTCTCTTTTATTATTACAGTGAAAGAATTTACTGTGAGTTTCTGTAATCACCTGACATCAGGTAGCAAAAAGGAATACTCTTGGAAAAACAGGTTTTGTGCCAGTGCCCAGTGAACTTCTGAAGAACAGAAATGTCTCTTGGTTCTGAAAATTTCTGAGACAGCCATGCTGCTACTACATTCAATACCTGGGTTGCTGAATCCATACTGTTCAGTAGGAATAAAAAGACAAAAGACATCCAGCTTTTGCATGAAGTTGTGTTTCTCCATAACCTGATTCACAATATATCTCAATATATCTCTTGGCTGAGCTGAGCAAGCTGGGAAGCAGTGTGTCCTGGGCAAATGCTGAAAAGGCCTGGCCAGGACACTGCCCCCACTTCGATGGTTTAGTGACCAATATTTAAGAGATCACCTTCACAAAAATATTAGATTATTAATAGGTGATTGGAAATTTCTGAGAGTTGTGAGCAGGATCCTTGACAAGCTATTTTAAAGAGGTTGATTTCTGCCTTGAAGACCTGTTACAATTTTGGTACGTCACTATGTTGCTTTGCTGAAACAATTGGACTTGTAAAAACTACATTACGTTTTAATCTCCCCTAATGCAGCAGATCTTAAAAAAATTAGTCCTTAAAACTGCAGTTTTCAAAGACTGTTGGAGTGGCAGCCTGCAGGACTGATAAGCAAACTCTCTATGGCTGCTCTTGAACTGCCCACATCATTAAAGATCAAGCAGGTCAGACTCAAAGTGGAACAAAAAATGTCTTCCCCCATCCCACTATTTAAAACTCTATAATGTGCAAGATGGAGAAGTGAGAATGGGAAAAATGAGGGGAAGGGAAATAACAGCAGCAAATGCTCTAGATCTAGGCAAAAGATCTTTGATGTAGAACTTGAGTCATAAACTCTCCCCTGCTAACTTAGGTATCAGGAGTATGTCAGAAATGAGGGTGGAGATGGTGAAGGAAAAGGGAAATTGCAGACACACAGGGAGCACTGGGGAGCATTCATACCAGGAAACAGCCAGTGACAAGTTTGGGTATCTAAAGTTTCTGCAGATGATTTGCTGTTTCTGACAAGTCAAAGTATCATTTGAGATGCTTAAGTGTAGACTATAGAGCTAAATTTTCAGTCGTGTTTGGCTTTTATTAACTCGGAAGAGTTTACAAACAGCAAAAGTTTTCAAACCATTATCAAACTTGTGTCTCCCACTATTGGAACATGTGGGAATGGACCAAAAACTGAAAATTAACTTCACCTAAAGTATCTGTCTTCAGCTAGTAGTGTCTTTGTTTTGTTAATCAGAGCCCCCAACCTAAATTTTCCTCATATCATTGTTGCATAAAAGGTGAAGGTTTTATACACATCAGCAAAGTCTGAGATTTTGGGAATAAAACAAAACCTGCCAGATGAGACACGCTACTTTAAAATCCCATCTGAGCAAGGAAAAAGTGCTTGCCTCTCATCAGGACAGGAAAGTAAGACTTGGAAAGGAGATAGGAGATTGCATTTTTGGGTTACATTCATGTCAGCAATTAATAAGTGTCAACACATACCTATGCCAGATTGATGGTGAAACATCTTGCAAGAAAAAACCAAGCGTTTTCAGGGAAGAAAATGTTTTGCTTACAATATTAACCTACTTCTCCATTATTTTTGAAATACAAATTCTAATGTCTAATTACACTACTGCAATGAAAGACTAATGGCATAAAAGCAGGCTGTGAGCTATTTACAGAAGACAAATTTTAAGTGCAGCTGTAAGCCACAGCATCTCCAAAATATCAGAGAGGAAAATGTGCTGCCTTTTACACTGATTTCTGGAAGAAACCCCTGAAACCATCTGCTTAAGGACAGGCCTGGTAGACACTACTCAGCTAAGAGTGTATGAATTTGGTATCCAGACAAAGTTATGAAACACTGAGCACATGTAGGAAGAAGCTGTTACTAGTGCCATCATTTTATGGCAATTGCAGACTTTAGTTACGTTTAATTGAATCACTTCTCCATGCCAAAAAAACAGAGTAAGAAATTAGCATAAACATTGGAATTCATAAAGATAGAATCTGCAATGCCAGCTTCACATTTTTTCTTGTTCAACTAAAAAGCTAATGTTTGCCTTCCTTTGAAATCAGAAGTGTTTAGTACAGTGCTTTGGCTATACCGTTTGTACAAACTGATCTAAATCCATTTAAAACACTTTCTGTTAAGTGCTTTTATGGAAGACAGAGGGGAGCTAAAACACAAGGAAAGCATTTTTCTTTCCCTACCTGTGAACAATAAAAGCTACTAGACTGAAGGCAAACTTGAAACCATCTTCATCATTTCACATTTCTTCTCCAGCTTGTCTAGCTTCTTCTTATCCAAATCATTAAGAGCTCTATTCCATTATAAAATTTGCATGCAACAGACACTCACAGGTATTAAAGAACCTATTTAAACTGGAAGTAAAAATAATGCATTTTACTTCCTTACACCCTAAGCACAGAGGTTGTCAATGAGTTTTTACAAGTCTGGCATAAAAAGTACAATACACCTGAACAGCTTCAGAGCAATTTTGTGTAGTGTGCATCTCCAGAAAATTAGTATTTTGTACGTTTATGGTAAGGGTGTACATACTAACCTGCCAAGGCCGATCCCAGTCAAGAGGAATAGGAAATGCTCCAAACCAAGCTCCAAGTATACTACACACAGAAGTAATCTGTAGACTGCTTTCCCATATGGACATAGCTCTGTGAAAAGTGTGTTATAAGTTTTCAACAACAGCAGAATTTACCACAGCAGAGAGTTAGATCAGATTTCTCCCAAAATTTTTGAGGTTACAAACAGACATAAAAATTCACATATTTGATAAATAGCATGGAGGTTTCTCCTAAAACATGCAAACTAGAAGTAAAATCTAAGGTGCATAATTTAGCTACAATTACAATCTTTTTATACCACACTTTCAGGATTTTTTTTTTCCTTGAGATGTTTACTGCAAGAGCTAATTTATGTTACCTTGAAACACTGCTGGACTGAGCAAATAAATCTATCTCAATAACTGTGTGCATTGCAGGGAGAAGCAGACATGAAAGTGTACTGTGGGACTGTACAGAAAAGCACAAGCACAGTCACAAAGTATTCTGTGGTATAGACATATTTGATGACTACAACAATTCAAAATTTAACATAGAAGTCCACTATGAGAATATTTCAACACAAGTTTCCATCAACTGAAAATAAACATTGCAAGCAAATGTAACTGCACACTGGAGCCTTTTGGTAGCAGTGCATCCAAGTTCAAGCACACTGGCTGCAGGATAAATTTTTTGCACACTAAAGAACTCTTACACTACCAGTCAGGGCACACATTGCAAGTGATGTCAAATTACTTCAGTTCTCAGTTTATAGCCTCCTGTCACTACTGATTTCAAAAGTTTTTGAAAAGCTGGATTTCTGTTTAACAGATGAGCACTTACTACCATCAGTGTACCAACTGATCGCTCTGCTTTGCTCAGGCCAAGAACATTTGGGTACTTGGTACCAATTAAGAAACGAGCAACAGAAGTTCAGAAGGCAGTAAGGCACAGTTTCAATACAGGAGAACTATGCTAGAGTCACTGTTCCACATCAGTACAGTAAGAGATCTGGGTTTAAAGTTTGCTACATCACAGATTATAAATGTACAGCTAGCTTCAGCTAACAGAGCAAAAATATAAGCATTTTTATGGCTCGGAGACTAGATGCACAGTAAACTGAACTTTGCACTTAATCATGTGCTTAATCATGAACAGCACTTAATCATGTGCTGTTTAGGTTGCATGTCATGAACACTTGGTTTTGAAGAGAATAAAATTTCTTTACTTCTGAGTACACACTGCTGTACTTGCTATTGACCAAACAGCTCACAAGTTTAAAGCAAACACTTTTTAATATTTGCAGAAAAAAATGTCTTGCAGACTACAGTACTGACAGTGCAAGGTTGACATTTTGAGCAGAACTGTTTCTCCTACAATAAACCCCTTTAACTTAAAATACTCCAGTTCACAATTCTACCAGTTTGAGAGTCTTTTTCTTGAAAAGTCCTGATGTAACTGGAAAACTGTTTAGGAGTCTGTACACAGAAAATTCTTTTGAATTATTTTCAGAAGCTGAATAACTGAGCAGAGATCTGTCAGCAGAACAAGGAAAAGAACATTCACTACATCCTTAAAGCAGCAAAAGAGACAACAGAACACACCAAGGACTGACTGAGGTACAGTTATACCTCACAAGACATCTTGTGTGTGTGGCAGATTCACCAGAGACTGCTGTACCATATGGAGGAATCAGACTGAGTCCAAATGCAAAACAACAGAATTAGCAAGGCACGGTGCCCAAGTGAAAAACAGCCACTGGCAGTTTGGCAACTATTTCAGCTGCTAATTGAACCCCTCTGCAGCATGGACTGGCTACCCAAAGACAACCTGACTTGTCCTCCAGCATTATCCTGAAGGAGCAATTACTTTTTTAAGTAAGTCATTACTTAAGTACTTTTCTTCTTGGAATGACTGACGCTTACTGGGATTTTTGAAGGTATTCTTTAAACCACCACATAAACTCCTGCATAAGACTAACAATTGCAGCAATGTTTATAAACTTTGCATTTTCCACATTTCTTTCATTTAAACTAAGATAATCCTGCAGACAAAAGTAGCAATGTTTAAGATAATAAATAAACACTAGTGGCAGAAAGGCTAAAGTAATTATTTAACCCCTTTAAATAATATAATACATTCAAGTCAGCTTTAAATAGTGCTTGAATTAAGAGGTTAGCTGACATAAAATAATCTACTGAGACAGCTCCTTCATATGGAGATTTTGAATTCTTGGCTGCAGAGGGACTGCAGGACTAAATACTAAGCAGCCCTTGGTGTGTGATGATGCCTACATTTACAAAGAACATTTCAAGTCTGTAAGAGCATGCAGCTCACAAACAAAGTAATAAAATAGGCATAATGAAAACAGGAAGGAGCCCTAACATCATGGGTTTTTACTATTTTTTTGCAATATCCAAATAAAATCTCTTTTCTACCCTGGTAACACCTTATTACCAGAAATTTCAACACACTTTCTCAGAGCAGTGATTTTAAATAAACAGTCTCCAAAAGGAGAGAGAGGTAGAAAAAAATGGCAATTGAAAACTGATTTCTTAAAGACTTTTATGCAGGAGGCTATTCCAGCTAAGTTACTGAAACACAATTTAAATAACAGCCACATGCTGCCATTAATGCTGATAACCCTTTCTGTAGCTAACTGCTGACAGCAGCACATGACAGCATATGATCAGTGTCACGACACTGACATCAGTCACAACTCCAGATGTCAGAGTAGAGCCCAGAGATGCTGGCATGGGCCCACCCCTTTCCAAATGCAGAATTAGTGAAAAGGGCCCTATTTATAGCTAACTAAGAATGGAAGGGTTTGTGATGTAGACTACACAGACTTACTTTTCTCACACATTCTGTGTGCACAGAGGCTTAAAGTTACTTAAGTCTAAATTGCACTCAGGTACTTAAAAACAATTTTTTTTTCATACTAAGCTATACACTTAATCAGACTTTCAACTAACTGTTCCAGTGCAATTCAATTCTGTAAACTCTGCTTTCAAGGAAAGCAGCCCCGTTGATTTTACCTAGCCATCCTTTTCTTCCATTTAACCATCCCACCTCATTCCACATGGTTAAGAGACAACCTTTTAATGTATCATGTCTACACTCATCTCGTGCCCAGACCTAAGACGTTCCAATTCCATGACGTCAAATGAAAAAACACAGGATTATTTTTAAATTAGCAGTTTGCTACTATCCATAAAGAAACCTGCTACAGTATTTCTTTGTAGTCTATATTCACTCAAAGTGTAAACAAACATCATTAATAATAAACATTTTTCCCACATAATGTCACATGGCTCACTAGTAAGAAGTACTAACAAGTCCTCACAGCAAAAGTGTCAAAACAAGACAACTGTTTCCTATGAAATGGTTGTACTGAAATTATATTAAGATCCAGACTAGGAAAGCAAGAAATCAACAGGCATTCAAAATCTACCTGGCACAAAGGCAAACTGATATTGTCATACATCTGTTACTTCAATTCAGCTGTTATTTCCAGATGCAAAACCCCCAAAGATAAGCAAGTGAATCAGCAATGATTTATTTTGTCTAAACAACTCCTTGCTTTTATTACAGTATATTTACACTTCTACTGAAAAAAAACCAAGTGTATATGACTTGAGTAAGGATTCAAGACATTTTTCAGTAAGTTGAGAACTGAGATAACCAAAATTTACCTGAAAGTATTATTAAAGTCTCCTCCTCTAAAGGAGTGCAAGCCAAAAATAATTCCATAGGTCAGCAGTGTAATACAACCTTTCACTCTCTTCTGAGATGAGACTTCACACCATGAACTACTAAAAGGGAATGAACACTAAAACCCCATTGAATCTCAAGCATATGTGAAGCCTCTTTATGTTTCAGTGTCCCAGTCTTTCACCATGCTATTATTTATGGAATGAAAAAAGGCAGAAGAAATCTGAAAAATACATTATCCTTGATACATGCTAATACCATGGCTGCCACTGGAGGTGAAAATGCAGTTAGAAGGCTTGTTCTACTTTAAACATACTCCTGAAAAAATTAATGCTTGAAAACTCTGACACTCAAAACAGCTTTCTTTAAAACTGAAAAAAGAGTATGGTTTAATACTACATAATTAAGAACACAGTAAGTCATGTTTAATTTTCAACATTATATTCAAGTTCAAAACAGTGCTTGTTTTGAGTTCCTATTCCTACTTTAAAAGTTGTATTTACGAAGGTACTACTGGATCATGTGCAAGATTCTCCATGCACAGCTCAGTGTCAGGTCTCCCCTTTATTTGACAACCATCATATAGAACTGCACAATGTCTTTACTTCAGTAGAATATGTGCTGGAAACTTTACTTCCTTCAAACACATATAAAGTTAGATTTAGCATGTGAACACCAAAAATAAAAAGCCATTTTTCTGAATCAGTGTCTTTCTTTGTCAGAAAAGCTTTCGTATGTCTGTAATCACAAATACAAAAACCACCCACCATTCAGGAAGTTTCCTTTTCTTTACAAAAATTCAATTATATATATTTTTTACACCAATTCTCCATTTCTATTCAGAGAAGTATCAGAAACTTTAGATTAGGACTTACCCATTTTTACTAAATACCCGTATCCATGCCTGTACGTTTGGTCCCAGCAAACACAAGCATTGTAAAGTAGTAAATGTGGACAGAAGAACTGCAAACAAAAATGTCTCAGTCACTAACCTACAAAAAAGAAAAAGAACATTACAAAATTAAGTGAGGTGGTTGCTAATGTTCGAAAAGTTCCAAGATTTAGGAAGAAAAAAGCCCCTATAACTCAACTTGTGAAAGCATGTGTGCTTTCTTAAACCTCATATAAAAGAATAAAATATTTTATTCTTACTCTGTAGTATAGTAAAGGAAGCTGAAAAGATTTCTGCTGTTATCTCAAGAGTGAGATGTACTAATGTTTTGAAATGCCTGAGACCTGTAACATTTTTAAAAAACCACAAGTGTACTTCACATAGATCATTAGTTCTAAATTGAAGCATGCTTGGATACTTACTTCATTATTCCATTTATTTTTCCCATTGTGACAGCAACCATGAAACCAAACTGCATGAAACTATTGTTAGTCAGCAGCTTAGTGTATCTCTCAAAACCCATGTTGCTTCACACTTCTTTCTTTAAACTTTTATGAAAGTTAAAACACTAATATCAAAAGGATGAAAGATAGGCAAGATGTGTGGTTTAGAATCTTATAGAGAAAATGACTAAACGAAGCTCCAAAAAATGTTTGTGCCCATATCTTAACATAAAAATTAAAGTAACAGAGTTGTTTGTAACAGCGTTACAATTTTATTTACAGAAGTCTCATTTAAGAGCTGGCTTCCAAAAGAACACAACTGGACAAGCAAACAAACAAAACAAAAACCAACCCAAAACCAAGAGAAAGCTGAAACAGCCACCTTTCTTTCCCCAGCTAGGAGCTTATCCCTTAACTTCCAGTGTACCAGAAAACACACAAGTACTTATACCAACATCTGCAAGGACAGCTGCCCCTTAGAACATTTAGAGAAAGAGAGAGTCTTCTGACTTACTCTATGAGAGGTGCTCCATAAAGAACAATAATCGCATGAAATAGTATGCAAGACATGAAAAAGTATATACAGCATTTTAGAAATCTGGATATCTAAAAAAGAGCAATGAAATATCAGAACAATGCTTCATAACAGAACATAAGTAACACACACAGTCTATATCTTATCAAGAGTATTGCACTCTGAATACTTCTTTAATTTCAGCTGCAGCACAATATAATAGCATGGCATATTTCAAAACAGTTTTCCATATACTAATACTTTAAATAATTAATTAAAAAACATCACACTCCACCTACAATTTTTTTTGTGCATCTCATTAAACAGGGCAAACATACAAAAAATAGAACCAGAAATTACAAGATAACCAGAAGTTATCTTGGACATTTTTACACTTATTGGACATTTTTACACTTTTGTTTTTTACACTTATTGGACATTTTTACACTTCTGTTTTACATCTGACTGTCATATCCATTAATTAAAAGGCAACTCTCACAAAAAGTGAAAAAAAATTAAAAGCAAGAAAATATACAATATAAAAAACTCTGCGACATAAAGAATCAAAATTACATTAACTAAAACTACATTTTGAACTTGGCATCTTAAATTCTGAATGTATTTGAGAAATATCCATAACTTTCTCTAAATCTGCAAAACACACAATTTTCTATGAACTTAAACAACAGTTTCTGGGTACTCACTATATCATGTAGAAGCAAAACCACTTGATAAACAGTTCTGGTAAGGTCTGTTCTGATCAGGTCACCAATGCAAAATCCGTAACTTGCCTTGAACCCTTATTTTTCTATATTTATTCCTTTCTATATTTATTTCCTGGGATGAAATCTCACCTAGAACACGAAGCGTGCTTCATTTTTAAATCACAGACGGTTAAAATACTTGCTTTCCATCATGGTTTTGTGCATTTCACACCCTCCTCAGTCAGCAGAGCTAGACAGAGGCTTTGCACACAAAGATATGCTGGCAGGGATGATTACTTCAACGTTTAAGAACCACCTCAGAGCACTACATCTTGCCTGGCCCAGCAAGTCAGGAGCACAAGACTATCTCCGACTTCAAAACTCTGGGGTATTCCCCCACTGCTGGGCAAGTCGTGTGCTGCTCCAAAATATTTCATTAGGATTCATATCCTTAATGCTCCATGTTACAAACTGGAACTACAAAAAGTTTCCCCCAACTTTCGATTCCTGTGTATGCCAATTTCATCACACAAGGAAATGCAGACATTTTAATACTTTTGCATATGATTTTTTTTTTTAGTTGTTGAAATGTAGCATAGCATCTCTTTTATGTGTCAGATTCCGAAAAAAATTTTTTTTCCTTTTAAAGTTGTTATAAACTTACAACTACACACGAGAAACGTGTGATGACTTATTTTTCCTGCTATATCCACTTAACAAGAAAATAAGCCAGGCCTGGACAACAAAAGTAGTTCTGTGCCATTTAATTTTGCATTAATTTTGATTTCTTGGGACTACAAACATTGCACTGACAAGAAACAGGAAAGCATGGAATCACTCACCTGCACAGGTTATTTACAGGTAGAGAAAGTTTAACATCATGAAAATACTGCAAAATTTGTTTCAAGAGGTGCTACACTCAACTCACTAACGGAAAGTGAGAGTTCACCATCAAAAATTGTCTTCTTTCTCATTTGATTATTTCAGAGAATTTGCTTCCCCTCTGTATTGACTGGTAACCACTTAAGAATTCAAAAAAAAAAAAAATCTTACCTTGTGAGCAAAGGAACGTCTCTTAGGAGACTGATTTGGTTTAAGGACTAAGTGCAAGACTATATTAAGGGTAGCAACACAAACAGAACAGACACACAGCCACGTGAGGTGCGTTCCCAGGACGCTGAACCCGTCCAGGAAGAAAGCCGGTGCCACGGCGGCCAGGACGATGGCCAGGGCGCAGAGCAGGTTGGCGGCCAGGAGCCTCCTGATCTCCGCCTCCCTCATGGCGTCCGGGCGGCGGCACCTGCAACACACCGAGGCCCGCCCCGTCACCGACACGCCGCAGCAGCGCCGCAGGGCGGCATCTTCCCCGGCGGCGAGGCGCAGCGCAGAGCTCCGGGCCCAGGCGGGCCGAAGGGGAGGATTTTGGGGCAGGAACCAGCGTTTGTTCAAAAAAACCAAACGCCGCGCGCGCCGCTCGCGCCCCTTACCGCGGAGCGCGCGGCGCCGCCCGGCAGCGGAAAGCGGCGGGGCCCGGCCGGCGGCACTTCCGGGGCGGTGCCGGAAGCGGCGGCGGCTGTGGAGGGGTCGCCATGGTGTGCGACAAGTGTGAGTACGGGGCTGCGGGGCGCCCTCCCCGACCCGCCGGACCCTGCTCTGCCCGCGGGGATCCGGGGCTGCCCTGAGCGGAGCAGCAGCCGCGGGTCCCGGGTTGCTCAGTGTGGGCCGCGGCTGGCGGTTCCCGGCAGGGCCCTGTGTGAGCTGTCGTTCTCCCTTGCGTGAGCTGTCATTCTCCGCCTGTGGAGCGTGGTGGTGTGCATAGTTTAAATGATTCTGTCCTGTATCAGCAGTAGCGTGAGCAGCAGGACCGGGGAAGGGATTTCCCTGCTGTTCTCGGCGCTGGTGAGGCCGCCTCTCGAGTGCCGTGTTCAGTTCTGGGCCCCTCGCTACAAAAAAAACCACTGAGGTGGCAGAGCGGTTCGTAGAAGGGCAGCAGTGCTGGTGGAGGGTCTGGAGCACAAGGTCTGATGAGAAGCTGCCCAGGGTGGTGGGGTTGTTTAGTCTGGAGAGGAGGAGGCTCAGGGATGGCCTTATCACCTTCTTCAGCTCCCTGAAAGGAGGTTGTAGCCATGGGATTGATTGGCCTCTTCTGCCAGGCAACAATCTGCAGGACAAGAGGACATCATCTTAAACTGGGCCAGGGGACGTTTAGGGTGGACATTTGGAAGAATTTCTTCCTAATCATGGAGATTAGACATTGGAATGAGCTACCCAGGAAGGTGGTGGACTCACTGTCCCTGAAGGTGCTTAAGGAAAGACTGGACATGGCACTCGGTGCCAAGGTCTGGTTATGTGGTGGTGATCAGTCACAGGCTGGACTCGATGAATTCAGAGGGCTTTTCCAGCCTAATTGACTCTGTGATTCTGAGGTTTTTTCCTTTGTAATGTTTCCTCATGTAGGCGAGAAGAAGCTTGGAACAGTGATCACTCCTGATACATGGAAAGATGGTGCAAGAAACACTACAGGTAGCCTCAGCAAGGTTTAGCAGCTTGGTTTTGGGGTATTATAAAGCCAGTTGGGCACCTGAGCTATGTTACCTTCTTAAGTCCAAAACTTTATATTACTAATCAGGTTAAATATTAAGTCATGTACTTTCCCTTCCATGCTGATTTAATGCACTGGGAATTTATTTGTCCAGAGCTCTTCGGTATTGAATTTGTCTGATTTTGGTTTTTTTTCCCTTCTTGTATGGGAGGACAATACATAGAATATTTAAGTGGAGCTCAAAGTGTTCTGTTACCCTGTCCCCTAATGCTGTGCTGAATATTTTATCTCTCTTTGTGACTTTATTTGCATACGTGTGTAAAAATTGTAAATGAAGATTTTTAAGATATGCTTGGAATGGGGAAATTTTAAAATATGCTGGGAACAGGGATATTGATTTTTCTTTTTTTTTTTTTTTGTTGTAGAAAGCGGTGGTCGTAAATTAAATGAAAACAAGGCATTGACCTCAAAGAAGGCAAGGTTAGTACTTAATACTGATTTTGACTAAGAACATCAGTTAGCAAATTAACTGAGACCTGTTTCCTGTGTAGCTGGGCAACTACTCCAGACTTGTCCAAAATACACTTAATAAATTAAAGTTGCAGGGATTATGGTATTTGATTTGTTGGTAAAAATATGTCCATACATATTTCATGGGTGCTTTCTGCTCAGTCATAGAGTATTTTACTGCAGTTCTCACTGGAATTGCTAGGATTTGATGCTTTTTTAGGAGAGAGGCTGAGAATACTTATTTTCTATGCTAATCTTGCCAGGATAATCTCTTGAGCATTTCCTTCATTTGTGCAAGAGTTTCTATTTGCAGGGGGGCAAGATGCTGCTGGAAGGTGTTTAAGTTGTAAGTCATGTAGTATCTTAATAAAAATAAACATTTTTAGTTCTGCTTTCATTAAGTTGTTGTCTGTGATGGAAGAAACGTCTCTTGATGGGGAAAGTGGCAGCTTTTCTGCATACTTTATGTAGCCTATTAGAAATAATTATTGTATGTCCCATTTCTAAATTGCAGTTTCTGCTGGAGTTTCTGACTGCACCCTCTGACTTAGACTTTTTAGGATGAGGCAGAAAAAAGACTTAATTTCAACCTTTTTCCCAGGTTTGATCCTTATGGAAAGAACAAATTTGCAATATGTCGGATTTGTAAGAGTTCTGTCCACCAGCCAGGGTCCCACTACTGTCAAGGATGTGCCTATAAAAAAGGTGAGTTTCACTGAGTGCCAAAATACTGCAGTTTGGCTTGGAACAAGAGAGGAGGTACAACACTTGAATTTGTATTTATGAAAAGGAGGTTAAGATGAGATTTAATTGCTATCTTCAGCCACTGATAGGCAGGCACAGGGAACATGGTGTCAGACTCTTAGGTACACAGTAATAGAATAAGAAATAGTTATAATTAAAGAAATAACAGGTTAGAATATGGGAAATTCTAATTACATGCAAGGAAAGCAATTTTTCAGTTTGGGAGTGATCAAATACTCTAGTAGCAGGTACCATCAGAGGTTGTGGAATCTTTACAGCAGGTATTCAGAGAATGGCTGGAACAGTCCTGAGCCAGCCTTATCCAAGTTGGCTGTTTTGAGTGGGGCAGGACTAGAGACTGAAGGAGATTCTTTTAAACCATTGTCATTCTGTAATTCTACTTCTTATAGAATGTTTGTGGTGTCCGAACCAGTACATTTGGAAACTTAATCTTGGCAATTGCATAGAGAACTGTCATCTAACAAGTTATGATTGTCCTCAAAATCCCAAAAAACCCCAGGTCTTCTAAAACTCAGTTGCTTGTTGCAGTTCCTTTTCTGGTCCCTTCTCTCCCATTTTTATAATAGCTAAATCTAAAACTCATGGATGGAAAAAAGCATAATGAAGTCAGTTACATGATTTAGTGCCAAAGAGTTCTTGCAGCACATGAGATGAACTGATTTTTAGGTGTAGAGCTACAGCTAACCACTAGTAAGCGTTGTTTATGACATTAATTGTTTAATAAATATGTGCTGTGTCGCTGAGTCAGTGGTTTAGCATCTTGCTGTAGGAATGTTGCTTGCTAGGTTCAGACAGCTGCCTGAACCCCATTCAGTAGAACCTTGTACTCCTTCTTAGATTTATATCTGGTTTGGGTGAGCTTCAGGATTTGATCTTTGTCTGTTTGTGTACCTTTCCAGGCTGAACCTGTTATCTTCATAAAATTAACAACTTCCTAAGGTTCTAGCTCTGACCATCAAATATGTCATTAGGGCATACTTGTTGAAGCAAATGCAGTCATACAGTTCAGTACTTCAGCTTTTGGATATCTCTGAAATTGAGAGGCAATCTCAAGTTAATTAATTCTCAGTTTAGACCTGAAGTCAATATTTAGTGGGCTGAGTTTTGGTCTCTAGAGTAAATCATGTGCCATGTTCCCTGCTGTTCTCTTCCCTGATGGACTGCTAGATACGTGTCCACTTATGATGTCAGTATATGAAACCACACAATTTGGAGAAAGCAGGAGTGGATGCCACTTGACATTTTTTGTCTGCAGGTGAATGTTTGTGTAAATTGAGGTGTGTTCTACCAGATAAAAGATTTAGCACCTTTTTGCTTTGAAAGGAGAGGAAAAGATTGAGACAACCCTCCCCTCTGCCAAACTTGTGTGCATTTTGGTGCTCTGGTCTTTTGACTTGACACTCTTAGAGTTTAGGACAAAGTCCTTTGGGACATCAGTGTTCATCACTTCAACTCTCAGGTATTCTTGGTGTTCATTGCTTTTCACTCCTGCTCTATAAAAACCTTAATTTTATCAAAACATGTTCTAAACTTTCTCAGTTCTCTGAAGCACCCCACCTGTGAATCCCCATTTAGCAGTCAGTTTGTTGGTGACTGTATTTTCTTAGTCCTGCTACTGTCTGTCCATCTCAGGCCTTGTTTGTGTACATGACTTAAAAGGACTAACAGTACACCATTTTTACCTTTTGGTCAGAAATGAGCCTTTCCTGGCTCTCTTCAGGCATTCCAGCAAATTGTAGAGGCTTCCAGCAGTATTGTGAGTGATAATGCTCTCAAAATAGAGCTTATTTGCTTCAGTGGAAGAATCTCACACACGCTGCATGCATTAATTTGTATTGGGAATTACAATATTACTTTTAAGTTTGTAGTATCTGTTGAGAACGTGTCTGAGAACAGATAGATTGCTAATAAGAGCTCATTTGAACAATTTCTTGAAAAAGACACTTACAAAAACATAGTAACTGTGTTTTTGAGAAAATATTTTAATAACTTCAGAATAATTTACACACTTTTTTTGTGCTTATAGGCATCTGCTCAATGTGTGGCAAGAAGGTCTTGGATACGAAGAACTACAAGCAAACTTCTGTCTAATTGTACTGACTAGTCTTTTTATGAACTTTACCTTCTGTGTCTTTGTACAGTAACTTTTTTCTAAAATGATTTGTGAATAATACTTTTTGGAAGATAGTACTTGGAATGAGAGGTAAAGACAGACTGCTTGCCTAAAATGTACATAATATTTGATTATAGTTGTTTTAGCACTAGTATTAACTGGTATTTAAAGATAATGGCTTTCAGCAACTGTTAGAGTTCAAAGGGATGGAGAAGATGCTAGTGGGTAGGTTAAAACTAGATTACCATTAGAACACAGATCTTTGAGATGAATACTTTTTTTCCCCCCTATCACAAGTCTTCTGCTTGTAATGGTTTGTAGATTAAATATGAACTTGCATCTCCTCATTAAAGTATCTTTTAGTTGTATGGCCTGTAAGTATTTATAATCATTCTCATCCCAAACTATTATGACCTTACTCTTCAGATTTTAATGCAATTGTCCTCTTGTATTTTGTTTCTGCCTACAGTATGGTTGGTTAAATCACAGATTGATAAGCTAGTGAAATCTGGTGTGTTGCCCTGCCAGTTCTTTCTTTGGCATTGTTGTGGTTTAGCCTGCCAACAACCAAGCCCCACAGAGCTGCTCCCTCACTCCCCCATCATCAGGACTGGGGAGAGAATTGGAAGGGTAAAAGCCTGAAAATGTGGGATAAAGACAGTTTAATGGGGAAAACAAAACACAGAATTAATTCACTACTTCCCATGGACACACAGGTGTTCAGCCATCTTGAGGAGAGCAGGGCGCCATCCCCTGTTACGGTTTCTTGGGAAGACAAACTGATCACTCAGAATGTCTCCCCTTCCTCCTCTTCCTCCCACTTTATACACTGAGCATGGTGTCATATGGTCTGGAATATCCCTTTGGTCAGCTGGGGTCACCTGTTCTGGCTGTGTCTTTTCCCAGTCTCCCAGACAGCCCCAACTTGCTTCCCATGGTGGCATTGCAAAAGGCAGAAAAGGCCTTGGCTCTGTGTAAGCCCTGCTCAGCAATAACAAAAACATCTCTGTATTATCAACTCTATGTTCAGCACAAATCCAGGACACAGAGAAATCCAGAATCCAGAACACCCACTAAAAGTGAAGGAAACGATCTCCACCCCATCCAAAACCACGCAGGCATTAGGACTGAGACTTTACATATGGTATCAGGTGGCCCAAGGCAATAAAATAATGAGCATCAATTTCTAAATATCTCAGTCTCATAGTTTTCTAAGTTAGTCTGTCTTTTAAATACTTGGTTTGATTTCTATGCTGTAATTGCTTAGATATGTGTCAAATTCAAAGGATCGAAGCAGGCTGCCTGCTTTTCAGCTCTGGTTTGATACAAGGGGTCAGTCTCTGAGCATGAGAGGCTGACTGTGGCTCTGCAGTTGTTTTGTCTTTTGCTTAGTTTCTACATATGAAAGCAGTTTATGTTATGGAGCATAATGATCACTCCCTTTTGCATGTATTTTAAGAAAAAGGATTATTCATTCTTAATTCATGGTTAATTTTTAATTAATTCTTAATTTAGGGCAAAGAATTATTAATTCTTAATGCATGGTGAAGTTTTTACTAGACCTATTTAGGTGTTTACTCCCCTGTAACCTCTTCTTGGCAATTTCATGCTTCTGCAAATGTCTTTCAACTGTAACAGAAAAACTGTCAATTCATAGGAATTTCCCTATGAACAGATTCTGGTTTGGATTTCCTTTTGTTCTCATATTATTACAGAGGAAACTAAATGACTAATGGAAACTGAAAAAATTGCTATTCTTTCTGTGGGGCAAAATGAAGAACACTGGGCTTATAGGTATCCTCTTTGCTTTGTTCCTGCCATGCAGTAGTTGTGCTGCGAGTAGCCCTCTAAAGGGGATTATCTGACATTTCCTGGCATCCTTATCTATCAATTTTTGAGCATTTATCATCAAAGTTTCTCGTTCAAATGTGTTGGCTTCCTGCAGTTGCTAAAGTGCTAACTATTTTTGGCATTTTGTATTTGCTGAGAAGCATTGTCAGGATAGTGGAATGAGCTGGGCCTCCCCAAAGAAGAGAGGAATGCTGCTGCTTTTTATTGCAAAAGCTTCTCCTACTGTAACAACTGCATTTAGGTAAATGGATTAGCTAGCTGGTGGTAACTTGGTGCTGGCCACTTGTTTCCAAACACATCAAGGAATTCCCATATTGGTGTATATCTCTATGACACATCCTTTACATGGGTGAGAAGAAAATGTCTGTAATTGGCTTCAAGTTTCACAGCAAATCTTGTCAGCAGTGTGTGTGACAATTTCAGGTGGCAGGTTCTCCAATAATCCCTGAATTCTTCACCCTTTATGGATATGTGCTATAGGATATATTGATTTTTGCTATTCTGTGAATAAAACTTCTTTTCCTAAAACTGGCCAGTATCTGTATTTCAAAAGCATGACATCGTCTTGAATGAATTGGCATGAGTTGAGTGTTTATTGCACTCTATAAATATTGGCATTGAATTAATTCCTCCTTTTGAAGGAGATATTGAAGATTGAAGAACAACAGGAATTTAAATAATGTGATGCTTGGTTCATAATTATTTTGTGAATTGAGCTTTTTTACATTTGTGTCGTATTACTGGACAGCTGCTTTTGCATGTTAGAATCTGTTTTTGTTGTAAAAGGACAGGTTTTGATTTGGTGGGGTTTTTTTAATGGTAGATACAAACTTCTGTTTTTCTGGTGTTTTCTACATGCTCAGGATCTTTCATCTGTAGCTCTCAAAGCTCCTCAGCTTCATGACAGTATCAGTTCCAGAGATCTGTAAACTTTGCTGATATAAGACTCAACTTTCAGAAAAGCTCATTTTCCAAGCATTATTTTGAAGTCTCACTGCTTTAAATTTAGAACACAAGCCATCCATCTTGTGAACCTCAGAGATGTACCACAGTTCAAGGTAGCCTTGGCAGAGAAGCACTTAAGGGTAGCTATTAAACTTATATATGTCCTCCATTTAATTGAATTGTCATATATAAAAACATATTGTGGATGCTAAAAATGTTTTGTAAGCATGGGATGTCTTTCCTGAGACATTACGCAGTGAAAAAACAAAATTTGTAATGAAAAATTGCCAATTTTGTTTAATGTACTGAGAAGAGCACAGTAATATTCCTGGATGATCAGCCTGTCCTCTAAATCACAGGTTACATAAGAGATTTGTGCTGCCAAATTTAGTAGGATTAGAATTTTCCTCGGTACTGCTGAATTCTTAGTATATACTGTCTTTGCTGTTCCTTTGTGTGTTCATTGGCCAGAACTATTACTGAGCTAAGTGTAAGCAACATTTTGGTGCAGAATATGAAGAGAACAGATTAGCTACATAATGTACTGTGACTGGAGAAGCCAATCAGCTGAAAATTACACAGGAACTGTTGAAGGGTCCTTGTTGTGTCAGGATATTGTCACATTCATTCCCATGTTATTTTATTTTTTTAACCCTGCTCTTCCTGCTGCAGAAGCTGGAGAAAGGTCCATCCAAGAATGATTATTTGGTAATACTGTTCCAAAGCATTAAGACTGTTTTAGTTGTTTTCTTGTAGAAATGTGGTGGTGTTTTTTTCCCTCTTTGGCTCATTCTGTTCCTTCATCAACAGAGTAATAACCAGAAAGACTTTGTTTTTCTTTACAAGGACATCGTGACCACTTAGCATTGTTCTTCTTGAAAATGGCACAGACTTGCACCAAAATCTTCCTTTTTTTTTTTTTTTTTGGCAAAATAAGAGATGTGCAGGTTTCAAATGGTAAGTCTGTTGCACCTGCTTGTTCTGGCATCACTCCTATCATCAGCCCATCTCTCTGCAGTGCCTCAGATTGTACAAGTCTTCCAGTTCTGCTCCACTTGGAGATGCTCAGGCCATGACCCTCTGCCAGTCTCCCCACCGTCCTGGGCAAGAATGGCTGGTGTCTTTGTATTATCAGTGGTCATTAAAGCTATATGCAAAAGTTGAAACATGGCTGTTCAAAGCAGTGCAATGAACCATGTTGCTTTATTTTCCTAATAAGAAGCTCTAAGTTCCATAGATGCACAAGTTTCCCCAGCGTGAGAGATTAATTATTCATTGAAGGATGATAACCAAGAGCTGTTTACATCTATAATGAAAAAGTTTAGTTTATGATAGGGCTTCTGTGCTGTGAATAAAATTCTGGAGCTACCAAAGTCTTTAGAATTCCCCTTGACAAATCATTGCTTTTCTTGGCTTGGAACTGGGCTTGCTGATTTCGTGTAAGCATATTCAGCCTAAAGGTGTGCCTTTTCCTGTCATTTGCTTTGGCTGTTGAAGAATCCAAGTGGTTTTAGGCACTGACCTACCAGTTGCTTAATAGAACTGTCTATTCAATGAGCACTGGTTCAGCATGGGAACATGAACATACCTCCTTTGCTTATGAGTTTCTCACTAGATCACTGGTTTAGAAAATAAATGTGACCAGGTGCAAAAGGGAATAGTGGTGACAGGAAAACTCTCTCTGAATATTGTGAGAGAATGAAAACATTGCTGCATCACAGTTTGGGTTTGCTATTAAGCTAAAGTATTTTTGCTCTCCTAATCAACAGAACTGGTTGGACAGTATGAGAAAGCCTGATGGCAGTCCTTACAAATAACAGACCCCAGTGTTTCTTTTCATGGGGATTATAGCTGTGCCTCATATGAAGACCAATTGTTTTTGAACTGCTTGTCTTCCTCCCAGATGTGTGCTTTTATGGACAAAGTTGTCATCTGAAATTCATTAGGAACTGGTTTTTTATCAACTTTTATGGGAGGGGCCATAGTTCACTTGCAGAATGTGTGTTCATCGTGTCTGGCTAATGCAGAAAATGCAAGTTCTCTGTTGACAGGGAGTGCTTACTTCTTGTACTTAAAGGCAACAGAAAAAGCTGTGTTCGAGGAACCTGGAAGAATCTGAAATCTTGCCAAGCAACTGAAGAAAGAGATGGGTGAAGTATTCTCTATGTGGGTTATTTCTAGTAAAAGGTTACTTTGTTACATGGTTCAGGAAGGCACTACTGACATTTGATTTTTTGCCTTGATGCCATTTGTGATAAACATTTGTGATAAACAGCAAGTAGATTTTTCAGGCACCGGTGACTCAATGACCAAATAAATGTCTAACTAGGCAGCCATTTTCAGACTGGCTTTCTAGTAGAAAACTTCTCAAAACTACTCCTTCCTTTCTGTCTCTCTCTCTGTACTAAAAGATGCAAAATGAACTTAGCAATGTTAGTGACTCATTAGGCATCAGCACTTCAGCAAATGCACTTGCCGTGTGCTCGTCTGCCAAGCGCCATTGGGAAAACAAATGTTGAGGAGGGTTTGTTTTCTGTGTCATCACTGTGCTGATGATTCAATATCAGTATTG